TACATTTAGATTGAAAATATCGGAATATCCACTTACGTGCATAAATGATTATTAAGAATAAAAATCAAAAAGTTGTCAAAGTGTCAGAAGAAATTTTTTTTTAATATTATTGATTTTGAAACTTAATATTATGATAATATGACGAATGTATAAGTAAAACTTATATTCTTCATTTTTCAAGATTTACAATAAAGATAAAAAAAACCATAAGTTCTGTAGAGTAGAATAAGTTGTTTAAATCTTTTATTTTCAACTTGAAATATGTAAATGTTAAATATATATTTACTTTCTGATTACATACTTTTATCTAATTATTAGATTGAATTGAAAGCTTTCAGTTTTTAACTCAATTACGAAGAAAGTTGGAGAAAGTGAGTTCTGCTTGCCTCCTATAACAATTTAGTTCCATCAATTTGTTATTTATATTATCTAATATTTTTATACTATTGTATATTATCTAAATATAATTAATGTATGTATTGTATACAATCGCATATTTCAATAATTTTTTGTCTTTGTTTGTGGGTTGCTTCGATTTCGGTTTTTACAAGCCATTCATGACAGCTAGACGCGATCGAAAGTGTCGGATATGATTCAGACGAGTGAACGATGATTTATTTCTCCCATCTGTTCTATTTTCGTCACGTGCAGCCATATCTTCCCAGGCTAGTCCAGGATATAGTCGCACATCCGGATGAACCAAAGTCGTTTGACACTCAGCAGAGCACCACGTGCAGCTTGTCCTTGCCTTTGCAAGTCGCCGTTTCCGGTAAGTCGCAACCATGACGGAATAAAGAAAATAAGTTTATTATCTTCGGTCTATTTCGAGTATTATTAAAATGTTTTGAATCTCAATATATTAAATTATTATTTTTAATATTTCGGATATTCATTCATTCATACAATCAATGTCCTGCAGATTTTTTACCTTTTTTTTTAAATAATAATTACAAATTAGACTCGATTGCAGTAATGGTTGCAATAAATGTTGTGTAATTTAACTACATTGTCTTAGTTGTTTATTTGATGTTTCAATAACCTACTACATTAATTATTAAACGACTTTATTATTAATGCAAGTATTTCAAATAGTGTTGTTTCATTTCCAAATAATTGCATATAAATGTATACAATCGAAATATGCATGAGTTTCGTACAAAGCACGCACGTTCCTTGTAATATTTAAACGAGGCAATACTTCAATCGTTTCACAGTAAAAAATATCCGATAATTGCATATTCATTCAAAATTCGAAGTAAAACTCGGATAAAACTGGCTCCATCATATAAGCCGGTGAGAACTTCAATCGTAGGGAAACTACCAGAGACGATTTTTGTTCGCGACGGACTAACTAACGATGTGCTCGCGTGTCAACATAACTTATTGCATATGTAGCGTAACGTCCGACTTAAAAATGACGACGCCGGCTATTTGCGAGACATTCTGCGAACAGGGTCTCCGCGGTAAGAGTTTAATATAGCGCGGTCATGAGCCTCGAATTCTGGGCCAATAATGTCACGGTTTCGTCGCACCCACTCTCCTCTTTTGAAAACACACGAAAAAGGGAAAAATTAAATCAAATCGTATCACATGAGTCAAATCATTGTCTTATGATCTCTTCATTTTTATTGTTAATCTTGACAAGAAATATAATTATAACTTTATGTTACTTTAAATAATAATACAATACTTGTTGATAAATTCTTGAACTCAACTTTTTATCAATAAATGTGATATTTATTGACTTTTATCATGTTCCCAATGTTTTCCCAAGATAAGCAATGTATCACTTGACGTCTAAATAGTCTTTAATATAATTTGTATTTCTATTTTTTGTTTTGTTCGAAAAACAGCTAAAACTTAATATCCTCCTTTATTTGTCCATTTATTTCTATCTGCAAAAGAATTTGTTGAAAAATGTTGCATAGACATAGCAGAAATTCATTGTAATTCTATCCAGTAGTTTAGAAAATTTTAAATCTCTCTATCTCTCTCTCTCTCTCCAACAGAAGAACGAATGTAAATTTTACGAACGATGAATGAATGATAATATAAAACAAACAAGCATCCGGTGTATTAATCATGTTGTAAAAATAATATGGAGCACTAGAGAATGCGAGCGAATTTACGAACAGAAACCTGAGTACGTGCGGAATCGAAAATGGCATTAGAAGGATTAAAACCTACTGTAAATTTTATTCGATTTTGTTGTATGTATTCTAACTGTGCGTTTTACTGCATAATTTTATACTATAAATTAAATGGCTAATTAAATTCATGACTGAAAAGATTTTTAATTAATAACTAATATTTTATTACAAAAAATATATTAAAAATTTTTTTTAATTACCCAAAACTTACTCGATTTCTCTTACGTTTATGAAATTGAGTGCATTTTAGATACCGCTGACAATTAGTTTATTATTAATTTAATAATTCTTTTAACTTACAGTTAATTACTACATTTACAGATTTTATAAATCTGAAATTCAGATTTTATAAATCTAATAATTAATTGTAAATTGACCGAGTGTTTAAAATGGCAAATATTTCTTTCGCAAAATGCATATATATATATATATATATATATATATATATGTGTGTGTGTGTGTGTGTATGTATATAGGATATCAATGTTTTCATATGTATGTGTACATATATCTTTTATATATTTCATATCTTTTTCACGTACTTATCATTTTGTGTGACTCACTCTGTGATTAAATAGAACAACACTATTAGATATTACATTAATGATTTGTGTATACATATATTTCTCGGTGTATAACTGGAGAAGTAGACAAAAATTTTATATTTCTCATTCTTCAGTCTATTAGAAGTGATTTATGCCCAATTAATTTTGTAATTTGAATATATACTATTTTCCCAGATGATATTGAAATCAACTTTATATGTTAAGATTAATGACAAGTGATGATCAATTTTGATTTTTTTCGTAGAGAATGTTCCACGGTAATAAAATTGATGTAAAATCGATTTCACTTATAGAACAGTATCATATGACGGTAGTTAAATGGGCGTTGGCTTTCTTTCGAACATAGAACATTTAGACAGTTTACTTTGTTCATTACAAGCTTCATTAGATATAACGCGATGTACTTTCGCCAATCGAACTTTCTTTTAGTCAATAAACCGCACGGCTAATCCCTCTTCTTCTTCGCACTGAACTAATCTCTATAATTTTAGAACACACAATCTGTGCATCATCTTCTAAAGTTTTATAAATATAATATAATATAATGTAATGTCATTTAAACAAATTAAAATTTTAATTATTTAATTTATCATTTTCCAAGATATTATTATAAATCTTTAAAATATAGAAGAAATTATAAAAATTAAAACCTTTTTTTTTACACAGACAAATTGTGTTGTGATTATCACGTGAACGCATTATCTTGCATTGTTTCGCAAAATGATATTCTCGTAACTCATGTCGCTACGTCCGATTGTTATATAGTGAAATCACTAGTTCCCGGAGAAGAAAAAAAAATTCGTTTACGTAATTCCAGCACTCCGTAGTGCGTTAAATATTTAAATTACCCGGAAAGGTAGATTTCCTCTTCTCTTCTCTCGCCGAGAGGGAATAAAATCTCGTAATCCGTGGTTTAACCATCGGCAAACGATCCCGACAACTAATCATTTCGATTATCTACAGCAGGCATTTAAGTCTTTTTAATCTGCTACTACTGGTATCCGATTGAATATGTTGTGCTTGCGCAAAAACGGATAAAATATTGAAATTTATTGCATTCGAGTTGAAGACATTAATTCAATACTGAAGAGAAAATTAATTATTACATCTGAGAAGTTCTTATTAAAAAATATATGCAGTGGACATAGATATATTCTAATGACACTAATACAATTAGATTCGTCGTACTGACGGATACAGAAGTCAATAGACATCGGTATTCGAAGCAATATATTCGCAGTTGAGAAAGCCAGGCGGAGTTTCGCAATGTCAAGATACGATTCGATCGAGCAAAGAAGACTGGATGTCGGTCGCGTTCCCCTTCACCAATCGGTTGACCAGAACTCAAACTCTGATTTCAGTCTGTCGCAAGGATACGTAATCTCTATTGATATTAATATTTTTTACTTATTTTCGATACATACATCTACATTTGTAATTTTTTCTTTCGATAGAAACAATGAATAAATGACTCTTACTGCAGATATTTCTTAGTTCAATTATTATTCGTTGTTTGTATCAAATCAAAATATTGCGGGGTTCTTTAAAAGTGAACTTTTAAATTTTTGCTTACTTTTACAAAACAATACTTATACAATACAATTATTTATTCAGCACATTAAGCCTAATTAATACATCGACTTAATAAATTTAGATTTGCAAGTTTATGCAATACGATTCAATACGTCACCGCCTTTAGATTGCTTCAAGTACGCGCGTTTCAATGTAAAAGGACATTCTCCAGAGTGAAATGTCCTAGATCGAGAGCATTACTTAGCCGCTCTATATGCCTCAGAGATATATAAGAATAGAAGTTAAGTAAAATAATGCAAGGTCGACACATCTCTATCTTTTATAACAGAACAAAGAGGAATCAAGGCTAAAGACATTCAAAATTAATTAGTGCATAGATAAATTATGGAAAGTGATAGTGATTTTAGAATACTTTCTGATAAATCATAAAAAGCTCAAACAAAGTTAAGCTACAATTGTTAAATATTAACTTTCGATTAATTTTAAATTTATAATCTTTTTATTATTTACAGGAAAATAAAATAATGAAAAATATGAGTTACAGATGAATAATAATACATCTTTCAGGAGCAGAAAAGAATCAACATTACTTTTTTTTTTAAACTAGCGCGTGTATCTGCATATTTTCAAAAATTATCACAAACATGTACGCATGTTACCAATGCGCGTCCTTCGCGCTAATACCTATGTTTCTAGCATAAAACAATACTCTATCAACATGTCCCAGATCCATGTGGTTATCGGCACTCACCTCGGCTAAAAGAATCAGCAGCAGCAGAAAGATGCTGCTGAATTTGGATACCGGTTCCGGACAGAAGACTATACAGCCCGTCATCCTGGATGAATAAAAAATCCACCAACGGCGAAACTTCCTTATTCTTGGAGCAATCTCCTTTTGTTCACCCCAGATACTCACTGACACCTCACGGAATGACACCCACAAAGACACCTTCGGCGTCCAGTTAAATAATGAGGAATGCGCGAGGAATGTGCGTGTCACATCGATCGATCGACAGCACTGGGACTTATTTCTTCGAGTCGCTGTGTGCCGTGCGTGTGGTATCACAAGAAATCGAGTGTCCCACTCCGGGCTCCTCGTGGTAACAACACCTGTTCGGTTGTTTGACAGCTATGCCGGTATCGGAGATAGTGACGGCGACGATGGCGGAGGAGCCAAGAGATCGCGGTGGTAGAAACGTTGGCTGCTGCCATATCAATCGGCGAACCGCGTGTCGCCGAGTCTTCTGCTTGACTGAAGTTATGTGTTATCGCGGGTCCAATACACCAGGAAACGATGACTCGATTAATATGCAGCCCTCACACCTCGCTGCTCTTAGTTCTCGGGCTCTCCCACTTCGGTCTGGCACATTCGCTGTGTCAGGTGCACCAGAGTCATGTAAATTTTTCCACAATAAATAGAATTTAATAAATTATTTCTTTGCGTCTTTTAGCGTTCGTTTTCCATTAAATTTCGTTTCGATCGCACAGTCTTCGTATCAAATTGAAGAAATTTGATTTTGTGTGTTACACAATTGTATTTCTTTTTTTTTTTTAATGTATTTAGAAATGGAATGCTTCTTGCATTAATTTTGTTTTGTATTGCACAATGTTTTCTTTATATGAAATTACTATGATAAACGAGAGTTTAATTGATATAGACGTCTAATACAATTTTTATTTAATATACTTTTATTATAACTTTTTACATTTTGATGTCTATCTAACGTTGAAAATGTATATCAATGACCGATATATATGTAGATGATTATGCTACTAAAGAAAGCATAATAGGCGTGTCTCTACTTTATCTCTCATGCATATTGTTTTTTTGTTCCACCTTTCTTCATGTTCTTAAATAGAATACCAGTTCTTTCGTTCATCAGGCATCTTTGTTTCCTTTGTTATTCTTAAAGTATATGACGTAAAGAAATCATATAATACACTAACGTAGCAATAAACTGAAGAGTATTATAAAATTACTTCATTTTCTCGCAAAGAAGATATATTGTGCTATATTTTTACTTCTATTTTATAGTATTCTCTTTTAAGTATGTTTGTCTTATCGCATTTATCTATTCGTCGAACAAAAAATATGTTATCACTTTTCGACTGGATCAGTTTTCGACTGGATTAGTTTTCTCCCTTCGTTACTCTGCGATTTGAGTACTCCAAAGTGTGGAACGGAATAACGAACTAGGGGTGGCACCCTTCGGCGCGGTCAACGTGACAACAATGAGGTAACGAAGCAAGCTTCACAAAACATTGAAAATAGCCGAGAGATTGCTCGGTGATCGGAAACGTGATTTTGTCCAGAAAATGGTCTGTTTGATTTTCTCTTGCATTTATCACTACAATACCTTGTTTCAGTTTTATTGTTAGGACAGCTAATTGTGTCGTTCAACGATGAAATTGTTATTTTATAAAATTAAAGAAATAATTCCAATTTTTTTTAAATACCACGTTTGTATGTATATGTAGATGTGTACGCGCGCGTGTGTGTTTGTGTGTGTATGTCTGGCCAACAGATCTCTTTTATTTTGTCCTCGCTTCATCCGATGTCGCTGATGAAATACAAGTTCAACGACGGAACACGACACGGAAACTTTATATAAAATATGGCTGGATATGAATAGATTAAACCGTTCTACTGTTTCATGCGTCCACTTACCGAGACTTCCTTTTATTATTCTATCACAGTTCACGTGTAAGATATCGCGCGTGAGAAGAACCACCGCGTGAAACGTCACAGGTAGCGATACGAAGCTATCCCTGAATCATCCATTAGGACGAAAAATTATGAGAAACAAAAGATTCCGAGTAGTTAAGAATACAAACGCTCTGTCTTGGTTAACAAAGAAGCACACACCTGAGCATTACTCTAAGGCCATTGTCTTTGCCGCTCCCTTAGACCCTCATTAAGCCACCGGAGAAGAAGTTACATACGCATCATCATAAAAGAGGCGAAGTCCGGATTTCAAAACAAACACCATAAAACGACACCAACTTTCTATTTAAAAGCACGAGAGTCTTCCTTATTCAAGATCACCGCCCCAGGATGTCAATAAAAAATCAGGCCACTGACCGCGCTCCTTCGCCCGTTCCAATCACGATTCTTCAAAAAGAACAACATCCCTTAAACGCGCGATTTCGTTCATCTGCGGAGTCGTTGATTCAGCGGAACGTCCGTCTGCTGTCTCTGTCATCTTATGATCCCAACGCCCGGGGAACGTCCTAGGAGATCCGCCAACGCGCCGGTCGCCGTGTCAATGTGTCGTGCTCCGAAAACGGATGGAGGCGCGACAGCGAGGAAAGGCCGAGAAATGGGCAGCAAACGAAGCGTTCAACGTGTTCTCGTACGGCTGTAGGTGCGCACGGTCGACTGGCGCGCTTTCATGACGCCTCACCCGGTGCGGGCCGACCACCAGGGCCAACGGGACCTCGGTTGCTCTCTCAACACTCCACTCGTGGCTACGACCGAGGCAGCGCCAGGCTAAGCCGTTCTTCGGCTTCGCCTCTCACCGCCGCCACCCCACCGGGCAACCTGGCTGTCTTTCCATTCCTATTCTGGCTCTCTCTTCTATCCACCTCATCTGTCTCCCTTGCTCTTCCAACCTGGTCTGCTCCGGCTGGTTATCCAACGCAGCCGCCATCACTACTGCATCCGCTGCCTCGACTCCCACCAAGTGTCGGTTTGCTTTTCCCTTCTAGTTGTCTCTCTTTCTCTCTCTCTCTCTCTCTCTCTCTCTCTCTCTCTCTCTCTCTCTCTCTCTCTCTCTCTCTCTCTCTCTCTCTCTCTCTCTCTCACTCATTCACTCACTCACTTGCTCTTATTGCATACATTGTAGAAATGTATTTGGTATATGTTGCATACGGATAAGAATGATTCGATTGTGTGCGAAGAAGCCCAGTAGCGTAGCTAGAAGATGAGAATGCAAGTTGCGAGTGAAATAATGAATAAAACTCTTAAATGTATTTTTTTTTCTTATTTTCGTATAGTGCAATTCTGATACAAATAATTAATAGTGTTTACTATGGCTGCTATCTAATTTCATCTTCTACAGTTGAAGTAATCTATTGGTGGTTGTGTGTATTCGTTTTTTTTTTTTTGGTTTTTTTGTCACTACTAAAAATAATATCTATAATCATAAGATATGCGAAAGATATAGAATAGTGGGAGCGTTAAAATAGATATATTATATAAGCAATATTTCCTTTTAAAAAAGAGAAAGAAAAATATGCATATATTCTTTTTCAAAGGAGAATATATAAGAAAAATATATGTCATTCAATGTTGCCATCTCGCTAATAACTATAAAATTGTTTTAATCACATTCATGTTTGTTAATTCATTTTACTCTTTTTCATTCTCTTTTCTATCATTAGTATCTTAGTTACCAAAATCTTGAATTATAGCATTTAAAATCAAGATAAGAAGATACATATTAAAAAATATTTTCATTTAAAATAAAATTAAGAATGTAATTCTTATAATTCTCATAAGTTCTCTCTTCTATACTTTAATCTAAACATTAAATTATTCTTTATAATTAGAAAAAACTAGACTATAACTATTAAACTAGAATTATTATAACTGATATGTTTAAAAAAAATTACATTAGAAAGACATAATTTTATATATTTAAGAAGTATATTTATTAAAATATATTTGTTTGGTAGATATGATAAATATTCAGCAACCGCTTCCATTTTTAAATCACAAAACGCATTGCACGTGTCAACGTCAACCGATAGATAGGAAGGCTCCCTAGACCGCGTCAATTCCACGCGATGGCATTTAAATGCAATGCCTCCGTAGATCTGGAAAATCCGAATGGCACCTGCGATTTCACAACCATGTTGACATCACGCGTCTTCCTTTATATCTTCTTTTTTTCCGGGTAACATCATTCCCCGCCCTTCCCTGACACACCCGAAGTAAGGTGAAACTAACACATTCGTATGCTTGTTGCACACGTGTAAAATAAGGATTACATGTACATCTCCTGTTTCTTCCTCCGAACCATCATCTCTTGCTACAGCCTCCTTTAACCCGCACCATACTTTGCCGTTCCCCCGGCCTTTGCCCTCCACAGCATTGTTCCTGAACAGTCGCCACCTGATACATGCACGTGTGCGCATGCACACATATGTACAGATGTATGTACGTACGTATATATGAACGAATACCTATCGGTATACCATTTTTCATGTTGCTCTCTCACCTATGCAGATATCTTTGTGAGTCGAAGTCAGAGACATGATGAGTGTAATTAGTACCCTGCTATAGATAAGAATAAGCATTAGAATTTATAATTACGTGCGTTTAGTATTTATTTTGAGAAGCCAACAAGAAATGGAAAAATCAATAACATGACGACTTAAATATTTCATCTATCTTCGAATTTTTATTTTCTCTGTGACGAAAACATGAATATTACAAATAAAGCGTTTCAAAAAAAATTTTCTATATACTTTTTTAAAAACAATTTAGTATATTGCTTAACTAGAGGAATAACAAAATACTAAGTCCACTATGTCATTTAATCTCAGCAATGTAAAAAATGTGTTCTAGTTTACGTCATCGGAGTCACATACACACACACACACACGCACACACATGTTACTTTCACTATCCCTGATATACTTCTGATACAAAAGTGATGAATGGAAATAAATTTAAAGAAAAAGATAAATAGATATCTTTTTTCCTGTAAATTGTAAAAAGATGTATATGAATTTAAAAAGAAAGTTTTATTAATTATTGTAAATACAATTACCAATTATATACATGTGTTAGAATAAGTACAACAACGCCGTTTACATTTCTTCAAAAACTAAAGATTATTAAAATTACCTGTAGACAAAATCTACATCATCAAGAAGAAATATAATATACGACACGTAAGAATCTATTTTATATTCTATTATACAATTTTGATGAATAAAATAGTTATAGCGACATCTATTATCATATCAGCGAATAACATTTACTTCTACTATAATAATTGTTGATTGAAAGATGAAAAAATATCTATGATTTTATTTGTTTATAATCAAGGCTCTTTTTTTTAATATTAATAAAATAGAATGTTTACTAATAATTCATAAATATTTGTTTTACATTTATCTTTAACGTTCTTCTTTAACAACTAACGGTAAGAGGCATTTGAATTTATGATCCAGAATAAATGCGACGATTAATGAAGCGATTTCGTCATTTTTGTCAATGACAACTAGCTATGTATATTCGACTACCCACAACTTCAAATAAATATGTATACTTGCGACAGTATGGCGAAGATAAACTGACGTCAGCAACAGATTGAGGTATCTTTTGTCATCTTTCATCTCTTCTCGACATGACGTCATTGTTAGTAATGGATCCGCAAGCCTTTTAAGAATAAGTAGCTATTTCTTATCAACAACTTACCAATTACAAGGAAAATAATCAATGCACAATTAATTCTTTTTTGACATCTTTTTTTATTTTATGTTAAACGCACAACTGAAAAGTTAGAAGAAATAATCGTATAAATATAATATTGTAGTTAAAAATAAATAAAATATATTATTATGTGTAATGTTATTAATAATAATTACTGAAATAATTTTGTATTTTAGACTGAAATAATTTTGTATTTTGTTTTTAAGATTAAGGATCATAAATTTCTTTATATCTTATTAATATTTTATAAATAAAAGTATAACAACAAATAAAAATAATAAATATTTAAAACAAGTTTTTTACTTGATTATTTCTAGTGGTATAAGTTAGTTTAATTTAAATGTTGTATGAAACTGTAAATATATTGCATTAATTTATATTTATAATATTTGCAAAATACTTTTTAAAGTGTATATTATAATGATTTTACGGGTATTATCTTCTATATTTCACGGGTATTATTTTATTTCTATATTGGAAGTGATAATGGATCAATTTATATTTGTCCACTTTTATAACTTGATATGTATCGTCATAATAATGCATTTTCTTAACTTATTATCATAAATAATGATTTGTAAATTAATAGCAGTTACAAGGTTGCAATATTGCATGAGCGAAAGGAAAGAACAGTAATATAAGCAAGAATTTATATCCATTCAAGAAATGTAAAAAAAATTTTTGCAGAAAAATTATAATTTTATACAAAATTTCATATAAAAATGATATATATAACTTGAATTTTATTTAAGAAATAAATTTCAATAAATTTCAATAAATCCGAATGTACTTAATTTTTCAAGACAAATTTCAATGTAAGTAAACGATATTATTTTAGTTAATTTTTATCGACGTTTAGAAAATTATAAATTAAAAAAAGTATTGTTTAAATTAGTTTAACGAAAATCTAAGCAAATAATTTTTAATTATATTATGTAATTGTATACGTTTTAAATCGAGTTTTTCATTAAAACTTTTATTGTTGTAAAAATCATCGTTGATCTGATCTTGAATCGAACTTGATTGAACGTTATGTTAGATGTTTCGTAATATCGATGATCTCTCGATCTTGGAGCACGACGATCGAAGGTTTCTACGGGTCGGGGACACCTAACATTCGCGATCCATCGCGCATGCGCACATTCTGGTCCTGTCTACCCACGACGGATTCTGGCGAGCAGCGCAGCAAGTGTATGTAACCAGTCCTGGACGGACGGTCAATCCGGTGTCTTGTGAACCACTCGCTCGGTCAGGATTGATCGGTTGAATCCGACGCGTGAGCAAAGTCGCCGGGAAGAAAACAAGACGGAGGAAAAAAGTGAACTAGCCGGTGTGCAAATTTCGGATTACCCTTTTCTCGCGAGGTGAGAATGATCACATTTTATAACATTTTCTTAAATTTCTCTAATCGAATGTATGATCCAAATTCGCTTAGTTTTATACTAAATTTATTTAGTGCAGTATTGATAGCAAAAAGATACTTATCGAATTATATGAAATATATGTAGTAAATATTTGTAAATATGAATGTTTTGAAACATTTTAAAATTGATAACACACCGATAATCACGTACACATATAAAATACATTATCTTTGATTAAATACAGGCAAAAAATTAAAAAACCTATTATAAACATAAATCAGAAATATTTAAATTAGTAATAAAAATTATTTAAATAATCCAGACATAATTATATTATAAATAAATTGAATTTACTAATTATCAGCCGGTAAATTAACGCCGTCAGAATCATCAATTAACATTAATTATCTTAGCATAGAACTGCCCTTGCAATTATGTCTGTTTGTATAGAATTACTATTAGTACACTGGCTGCCGCTCTATCAGCTCCATGTAGCAATTAATCTTCTGTCTCTGAAAATGCCTCAGTGCCTTTGAATGACTGCAAACAGCGACCGTCATTATGCCGCACATGTCATTGGTTAACACGCCATGATTTTGATGTTACCAGGTTGAAAAACATTTACTTCAACTTGATAATCATTCATAATCTTCGTTCTAACTCGTTACAACATGGAACAACTTATTATTAGTGCAAAATTATTCTCTAAAATTGTATTGTATATTATAAAAAACTTTTATTAAATTTTTATATATGTGGGAAATGTCACTTTCAAAATATAAATTAAAAATAATTAATTTTATAGGCAGCACAAAATATTTATGATAAATATTTATTATTATTTATTTTTTGAAATATTATATAAATATTTTATACATATTTTATATAAAACCTTATTCGAAATATTATTAAAAAAATAGACTAAATATTAAATGTAATTTTTATGATAAATATAAATGAATATTTCTGGTAAGTATTTATTATTTAAATTTTAATGTCTTATTAAATATTTTCACAATATTTACTACAAAATTTACAATAAATATTTCGTAATATTTGTAATAAACGTTTATAATCTATGCAATCTACCAATAAGATCACAAAAATATTTACATGATAAAATTAAATATATAAAGACTATTATGACGACTGTCGTTATAATAGTCAATCATAGAATACGTACATTTGATCCTGTTGCTGAACTAACCAACTAGAAAATTCTTTATATATACATATAAGCATATTTAATCTAAAAAAGAAGTGTGATCATACAATTAAATTTTCAAATTATATTTCTATTACCAAATTTTTAAATTATAAATTTTTTAATACCTTAACATTTAAACTTTACTTAAGTTTTTATGTACTTATATAAAAAAATTGTATATAAAATTTTATAATTATTTCATTTAAATTAAAATATGATTCTGCAAAATATGTTATCTTAATATAATATAGAAAATTAATCAAGTTTTATTTTATAACAACCTCCTCTAAAATTTAAATTTTTTTAACGCGGCAATTTTATGGAACAGTTTGATACTAATTACAAATTCACAGTGGTCGACTGAAACTTGTCTCTTCAAGCATACGTAATACGGTGAGCAGATGATTGGAGATAGGCGGAAGGTCGAATCCCACTTTCCGTCTTTACGGATCTCTCAGCCATGTTAGGTGCGTTTTAAAGACCACTCAGAATAAATATCGATATGCATAATTCATGTGTCATTTCGAACGTTACAACGTTCATTAAGAACTTCGTAAGCAATGCATTATACATAAGAATAACACTTAAGAGTAAATGGAAATTCTTTGACATAGTATAATATTTTACAGTTGTAAATTACCTCGTCTTCATCAACATGATGTTTAATTAAGGAAAAAAGATAGAAAAGGAGCAAATTAAGATTTGAAATAAAATCGCAAAAAGTTTTTTTTTTCAATCTGCTAACCATCTAATTTATCTCTATCGGCACAATTGATAGACGGTATTTTTGCATAAAACTGATTTGTAAGAAAACAAATGTACAACTCAGGTAAGAAAAAATGAGAACGTGATGTGACGAAAGTAAACTCTCTTAAAAATAGGCACAAAGCCAAAAACATACTGGCTTGGTTTATAAAGCTTCTTACCATTTAGGTTGGCGCTCCAAAAATAGAGCTTATATATTTTTCATTACTTTTTAAATTTACGTTTAGAGAAACAATAAATTTCACAAATTAATTTTAATAATACTGAGAAATATTATTTAACATTGCAATTTTGAGACCTAAACCTTCTATAAGAAGTATTTAATTAAATGTGAAATAATTAATCCTCATGTTTTTATACATTTATATTGTTATAGATATAACTATTACAGCTGTTGAAAACAATTATTGGCACGTGTGTAAATTTTATCTTGGCACTGTGAAGACGCCAAAATTCACGATTCGTTTGTGCACATTTGCAAAATAGCATTAACAAGTAGTCGTCAAAATGCCATTAAAAATCTACTATCCGCGTAAAATGCGTTGATGGTTGAAAATCTACTAGTCAAGATGTAAATAACGGCATAAAGGTGGGTTATATTTGAACTGGTTGAACAAAGAGCAGAGAATAGCGGTGAACAAAGAAAGAGATGAGAAAGAAAGATGAGATGAGATGAGATGAGATTTCGAACGCCAGTTGGCCGGACCGTTGCCACCCACGTGATGTCAAAGTCATTCTCAAATTTATACATTAGATTTTTTCTTATCTTCCATACATACACGTGTAACGTTAATAAATGACGCAATTTATTATTGTCGCGACAAATTGCCGAAAAAGATAGTTCTTTTAATACTTTCTTCAAATTCGTTGAAATATTTTTTACGACAAAGCCTTCAGCTAAAGTTATAAAAAAACATGTCAAAATCACATCTTATATTTCTTTTTTAATTTTATTTGCAAATAAATTTTAATATAAAATTTTAAAAAGTTTTACATATTTTAGTGAACTGCAATCATGATTTTATTATTTCTATTAATCGTAGTTGATGAGAAAGTTCGATATCATCTGGTAAGCTCATACATTTAAAAATTGAGTTAATCAATCTCGCTAAAATAAACTTGAAACTGTTGTACACTTTCGTTTTCATTAATGAATACATATATAAAAATATAATAAAAATACAATAAAACAATATAATAAAAATACTAAGCATCAGATTTACGAGAATTTTTCTTTGAACATCGTGAATTTAATATTGTTTACGTCATTCAAGTGCGTCATCAATAATAATACCATGTTTCAATTACTCGTTTGAAATAATTTAGTAAGAATTTAAATTGATAGTTTTACGATATCGAGCGTTGTTTTTTTAAGAGGAGAATTTCTCTCAATACAAAAATCATAAAAATAATTATTTAAATATAAATTATTTATAAAATTATTTTAAATTTGACTCATAACAGCACCCATAAAAGTATTATAACTGTAATAAATTGTTGAAAATTATAGGAAAATTGTTTTAATTGTTAAAGTTTTCAAGAGAATTAATAGTTCATCCGTTTTATTAGTGTCGACTTCATTTGAATATTTTTGGCATAAATATCAGCAAAAAGTATTTCATAAATATTTCTGAAATTCAATGAATACTCAATGGGAGAAACTCATTCAGGCTCTGTGATATTTATGTTTACTGTCATTTACGCAATTGTGTTGTGAATGCAAACACAAAACTTTCTCCCATTGACACAGTTGTAATTCTTTATCGTTTATATATTTTCATCATATACGTTCAATAAAATCGACACTATAATTTATAGAATTCCGCAATTAATATTATAGTATCTGATCTAACATCAGACATTACGTCAGATCATAATATATGTACATTTGGATGTACATAGTACATCGGCTGTGTAACACGTAAGACAGTATATTCGTACCGAAGCGTTACAGAAACGTTACTATATACATCGATACCGCAGTAGTAACGACATAACATAATCACGCAGTTGCAACACGATCTCTTATAGTATTTGGAATAATAATACACTTCTTCGTATTAGTTCTTTTTTTCTAAGAGTATCACTTATTTTCAACGAAATAAATGATTTTTACCATTATGTTAGAAATATTTATATCTTCTATAATTTTTTTAAGATTTAAAGTATTTTCGCTTTTTAAAATAAAACATGTTATTTTTTGAATAAAATATTATTAACATTGTTATATTAATCACACGTTAAATTTCAAATTTAGATAATATTAACGTTATGTATAAGTCTGTAAATTATTTTGTTCGGAAATACTTCACTATTTTACGATCGAATTTTGTTTCTTAGAGATAGAAATATATATCTATGATCTCGTAACCGTCCGACATAAGATTTGTTTTATTTATGAATTGTAAACATCAGCGAAAAGTTCTCATCGTGAAATAGAGCATATGAGTCACGGATTTGTTCTCGCTCGTAACTCGCTTAAAAATATTTTTTATATTGATCGCTAACGCAATCAATCTAATTTCGTCGCATTGATCAACAAACTAAATCTTTCAGCTTTTGAATCCTTATTAACTCCATTTTATAACTTATTTTAGTTTTTATTTTTGCTTTAATTTTATGGCATTGATTTTGGAAAATATATTTTTTAACAATCTAAAGAAATAATTAATAAAAAGTAATATGGAAGCTAATTAAAATTATTACGATATTTGTTATACGTAATAAAATATTATTTATGAAAACAAGAACAATTAATTTTTTAATCTTCGAATTTTATGTCAATCCTTAGTATACCTATATGTCATTACGTTCTATAAGATGTATACGCATTTTTTTTTTAAATATTGGAACCATCTGTCTTAAGGATGTTTTATACATATTTTCAAAATTATAACAAAATTATGAAAAAATTACAGATTATTTTAAATCACAATTATTCTAAATCACAATATTTCAAAATAATACAAATTTGGTGACAGTTTACTATCTGGATCATAAGTTATTTTAATAAATAGTTGTATTTTTTGTGCGCTCTAATAAAAATATATGGAAATGTATTATAAAAAATAAATGAGAAAAATCTCAATTTTTTAATGTAAGTACATTATATATTCAAGATTATTTACATAGAGTTACATTGCAATGCATGAATTAGTTGTCCAGTAAATAAATAAACGGAATATTTATTTGTTTTATATCTTTTCTAATTAATCGCAATGAAATTTTACATAAATTATTTTGAATATTTTAAGTACGTATAAAAGAAAAATGTAAATTTTCCAAATTTTTAAAATTTTAATTTTTAATAATAAAAATAATAAAAAAAATAAATAAATTACAAAAATGTATTATTAAACAAAAATATAATCTTATTCACACAACTTTCATATGTATATAGTTTGTTTGAAGTTTAAATATTAAACATATTTCCAAATTTAATTTTCTTTGCATGTCTAATACATCCTTAAATAATATTCTCTATTCTTTCCTTTATTTTAATACACAATTTCATAAATACTTTTTAAAGATGTTAAAGTATATATATATATATATATATTAGAATCACTTAATAATTTTTGTATACTTGTAAAAAGTGATAAAAGTTAACTAAAAGAACATCGTGTGTATTAACATAATTTATACGTTTTTGTCAACAAAAAAAACCGTATTAAATTTTTGGAAGATTATGTTGCCATGAATCAACGATAAAATAATTTTGCGGTGCAAACACTTCCTCCCTCTTGTTTCATCTCCACCCGCTGCACGCAACTTCTTTATGTTTAAACGAGACGAAAGTGATTGCGCAAGAATTGCGATCAGTAACGCGCAGGTGCATTTTGCAAGCTGAAATTATTACACCGCGACTCGGTGGCCAAGAATATATTTGTGCACGTGCAAATTAGATTCACAATTAAAAGGATTGGCAAGTTAAATATCGTGACTGAGAATGAGAGCTCTGCATCAATCAAATTTTAAACACTAACTTGATCTTAAACACTAACAGAGCCAAAATTAAGTAACCTTCTTGGAATCAAACGAATCGCAGTCATCGTCATTTTGATTGATACGATAACCTTGGAGGGCACAAATACAATGTCACTAACAATGACCGGTTAACTATCTGCTTAAAGCAGTTACATCGTCCGTTATCAGAGGCGTAACTATTGTGATTAGCAATGTACGCTCACAGGAAACCATTTCGAATTCCAGTCTAGGCTTTTGATTATATTGTTTAAAAACTTTATTCATTTTATCATTTTGTGAAGCATTATCTGTCTTCTTTACATATAGTTTATAAACATGATTCAATCATTATTATTAATAAATTAATTTTATCACATAATATATAAATATAATAAAAATATATAAATTTTCCAATGAACAACTCGTTTATATTTTAATTACGCTACTGCATCCGATTCGAGCTGATCAAGTTATGTGTACTCTATATTAAACAGGAATGACGCGTGCTTTGAAATCAACTTATAACGCTATCTGAAAATAAAATTGTGCGATAAAATCCCAATCTGAATGGTCTCATTATTATCTTTTTTGTTCTTAACTTCTTTCACAAATCTACTTAAAAATTACTTAAAAATTACGCGTTTATATTATTTATAAACGTGTCACTTAAACGTATCTAATATATTATAAGTGATATATTATAACAGATAAAATTTATGAAAATTTATAAAAATGTAATCTTTTGCACTACTTAATCATTACGGTATTAATATATACAAGTTTTATGTATATATGTATGACATTTATAAAATAGTGCATCTATTTTATTAAAGCTTGAAATAATTTATATGTCACTATTATTGTTTATGTATTTTTCCTAGAAGAAACTATCTTTAATGGTAATCTTGATGATACGAATATGGCGTCATTAAGAACTCGTACATCACAATCAAAGCGATATTCATTGTAGAGGCGCGCACAATATTGTAATTGACCTTGATCTGCATTTATCTGACCGTGGACCAATTTGCCCAAACTTGCTTTCAGTAAGAAACGTCTGTCATTACCAAATTTGGATTACTTCTTTTTCCCCGTATTATGATTGATATATCAGTATAACTCGCGTCATAATAGTCACTAGAATGCGTATTCCAAAAATGAGTAACATGGTGTGTTTTGAGATATATTTTGGAGGAGATTAAGTATATGAATGCGTACCTCTTTAGTTGCCGATTCTTGGAAGGCCTCCTTGGCCTCATTCGCATTTGTGGCTCCACCGGAATAAGTATGAAACCATTTGGCATTTCCACGAATTTAGATCCCAGACTGATCTCATCCCTTTATCCAGTCATACATTTTGTACGGTTCAATTTCCATAGAACTCAATTATTATTATTCTAATATCGCTTTCTAAAGTACACGACGACATTTTATAATGTGCCGAATGTAAAATAATTTTAATTTATGCATTTTTTTCTTTGAAAATATTTTGTCAAGTAGCCAATGGCACATTAAGAAACACTTTTACGACTAACGTAAAAATTGTACGTGCACGACGGAAATCAAGAACCTACACCCACTCGGACCTAAAACTGGCCAGCCTGGTCACGGTTGTTGCACGAGTCTTGTAAACCGGCTTCGAGTGGTGCGAAAGTTTCTGCGAAAGTCCATAGCTCTCTACAGAGATCCGAATCCTAATATCAATTCTATTTATAACTCCACACTTCTATAAGTAGCGCATTGCAGCAAGAAATATCCATCCGCGTGCTACTATCATTCCAGTAACTCAATGTACTCCAGAGATCTTATCTTTATCCAATAAATATTCACAATGATACTAATTAATGATAACTTGCAGTAAAATTAATCGAAACGTCAATCAAGCTTTTCATGTTTACTCGTTACAGATTTCGTGAGGCAGGGCTTAAGAAGAACACAATGTCAGCAGCCGTGAGGGAGCGAACGACGACGCACACCAGCAGAAAGATCGTGAGTCATGGCGGTCCTATATCTGGCCAGAGAGACGGAGCAGCCACGGCCAGCAGCCTCGAAAACAACTTGGGTAAACCTTTAAATGTGCCACCAGAGCTGTAACCTTATCCATCCGTTGTTCGTTTCCGCTCTTCTCCTTTTTCATCGAGGTTGCAATCTTTTTACTTGCGATGCTTTCATATTTTTAGAGAATGAATTAGTTACGCGAGCAGCGATATAATTTGATTATGTAATTATCTCGAGTTCTTTCCACTGTTGATTAATAATAATATTCTCAAGAAGAATTTATGTACGTTTAAATGTACATCTAAAGCGATGTAAAACCTAATGTAGAATTGAACATAATAGCATTTTAATGAAGGTTTATTGTAGTCCTTCAGATACTTGGATTCACATCTTCTCATTTATTTTTCGTTAAAATATTGATGACGTGTTAAATTGATTCATTTGGCTCTTTCAGACGCACTTCTCGAGGATCTACAGACGAGTGTCTCGAGAAGTGCCACTCCTAGCCGAGACAGAACACTGTTGCCTCAAGTCGAATATAGGGTAGCTGCCAACCCTACTAGAGTGATCTCCGAGGGCAGGTGAGAGAATAAGTTAAACTACAATTTGCATATCTTATGCAAATAGTATTTCTTTATATGTAAAAGTGTACTATAATAAATATTCGGAATGATTTTTCACAGATCCGTTTCTCCATCTCGTTCGAGGGTGACTACTACTGAAAAATTCGTCAGTAGTGGTCCAATTGGTACATCAAGCGGTATACCGGGATTGGAACATTTGGACGTAGAACTGCAAAATGTGAGTTTTTAAATTAAAATGATGCATTATTATATATCATAAACTAAATTCAGATTATTCAATACAATTAAAGAGTATAATATATATGTAATTGTCCATAATTAATTTGAGGAAAATTTTGATTTTATACAGTTCTAATTTTAGGAAAAACTTATACTTGCCTGGATAAGTCAGTCTCTCTCTCTCTCTCTCTCTCTCTCTCTCTCTCTCTCTCTCTCTCCTGAAAAATTATGATTTAATAGGTTTTTCATTTTTACTAATATCATTTAATATCACTTTACCGAAAATAAACATATATTCCCTGTAATTAAAGATTACAAAACACATGGAAAAATAAAAGTCAAAGTGTGAGTTATAGTTTTCTCATTATTGCTCGAGATACAAAGAATGAATATTAGCCCGAGGATAAAATCTAGGAACAGGAAAGGAACACGGTAATCTCGACACGCATCGGATGAAATCACATTGATGTCGACGATGCTGGTTCTTAAATGAAAAAAAAAAAGAATGTGTTGCGTGATTAATGCATGCAAGAAACTAGTTTCGCATACCGTCATGCGCCCTTGCCGAGATCATTGTGCTGTTGAACAGAAAACGACTATTTCGATTATCTGACGTTAATTAAGTGAAGCTACTTAATAAAATTCTCGGCACAACTTGTTCGTAATAACCAAGTAAAAAGTAAAAATTCGGAGACATAAATTATTTTACATTATTTAATCAATATACAATTTTCTCAAGATTGTCAAATTAAAAAAATTGTAACATTTAAATATATGTATAATCGAGCTAAGGATTTATTTATTTATTTTTTAATATCTCGAATAGAATATAAAATCATATTTTTGACATCAATATACCCACAGCTTTGCTACTTAAAAATTAAATAAATAAAATCTTACTTTAGAAAAACAAATATAAGTATTAATACTGTTTACTGCGTAAAAAAAATAGATAAAAAAATAGATTAATAGAAAATCGATTAGTATCAGTAAATCATTCTATACATCCATTTATCAGCGATATTAATCAATGACATTATTATTAACAGTGCGGATCTACAACACCCGCTGTACTATATAAATCAGGCGCAATAGATTGTTAGACGCAAAGTATAAAATCACCTCTACATTATAACATTCACTGAGCATTATGCGTTTCGCTGGACGCTACGGTTCCAATTATACACCACGCAGATTGCATCGTTCATGTATTTGCCCCCGGGTTGCAAATACATCTAGCTAACATCTAACGTTCAATGTTATCTCTCGCTATATTAGACACACCATAAGGAGATGATTTTTATATTTGAAACTGCGTTTCTCTCTCGCCATATTCCTGAGAGTCGATTTACTATTAAAACAAAAAGAAATTCGTTGGTCGTGTAATTGCACTATAATAGTCGCTCGTGCAACTGTCTAATTTGAAACCAAATTATGATCGCTTGATAACTGTAATTATGCCACTCCCTCGCTTTCACATTTAGCCATTGACCTTTAGCCTTCGTACAAAGTTTCGAGGAGTGCTTTAATAAATTAGAAGAATAATGTCTTAAACAGCTTAAAATGTTGATACAAATTTCAAATTTTTCTTATAATTGGTATAAAAATTATGATCTCCTTCTTCAATATATTAATTTTCTAATAGATACGTATATATGAAGTACGAATCTTTCACGATATCGATAAAGATTATAATTTAAATTTTAAATGCATGGGGTGGTGTGACTCTTCACTTTATAAAATACTTGTAAACATCAAAATATTCTTCATGCATTCCTGATCCGGTCTTTTAGTCGGGTAAGAGAGAAAATGGAGAAATGCGTTAAAACGTTCCGCTCAGTAATGGTGTTCCGGACAACTACGTAATTGTAGTAATAATATTACCATTTTACGCGATATATTGAACATTAGAGCATCACGGCGAGGCACAAAATCAGTCTTGCGTGTAACGGGGACCCTGAGGTAGGTAATTGCAGCGTTCGCTCGTCGTATGGCTTGTAATCCGATGTTCAATGAAAATAAATTGGTTTGCTCTTACACTCCTTCACATCAGCCGGATATCTTCAAACTAATGGGCTTGAAGATCTTTAAGCGACGTTGTCTATCGTCGTCAGGAATGTAACGAAATAATAATGTATAAAATTCCCACACGTCTTATTTACATATTCTGACGGTTTGAGAAATTATATGTTAAAGTTTCATCGTACACAAAATAGCGCGCGGTGCACGTATAGTATATATAGAAAAATAAAAAATATAAAATTATAATTTATTCAAGAGTTAAAAGTAATTTATTTTATACGTAATATTCTATTAACTTTATTGCATAGCTGCATATTTGCAGTTGAGATAAACATTGGCCGTGATTCGCTTCACGGAATTTAAGTGTGTTGTTACCGATCCGCCCATGCTTTACACGTGGGACAGTAATCAAAGTCTTATAAGGAGAGTTCGGTTGACATTGCCCACGCATTGCTCGCACTAATTTGTTACGATCGCATCGTTACTATAAAAACGGATGACCTGAATGCTTATGCATATTTATGCGAGATTCTGTATTCATGACGTCCATCTTTTTCTTGCGTTTGTAGGTTCAACCCGGTCAAACCAAAACAGTAGCCTACAAGCAAGTATCATATCACTATAACAAGGATTTGGACGGGAAATCAGGTGGGAAAAATTTATTAAATTTTATATATATACATATATATACAATGAGTAACAAATAATATACATATGTTAGAGTTATGTAACATTATTACATATTGTGCTATACGTAACTGTAGAACATTCTCCGTAGAGTTTAGCGTACTGTCACTGCAGCAAAGCGGATTCCTATTGAATTCCTTGAATTAACTGAGACAAGTAATACCGCGGAGTCGCGGTGAATAGTACGCGTGAAACGATCAAGGAAGGTAGGAGAGCCGGTTGCTCGTATCACGCCTTTTAAGGCAAGCAATGGCCTTGCTGGTTTACGGTTAATTGATAATGAAAAATCGAGTGGATCAAATTTGAACCTTATAAGATTTATTTAAATCTTTGACGCGATTCTAGCTACACTGTGCGAAGAATATTGCAATAAAGCGAGCGAGATCGTGTCACTCATATCAGTTATTGTTGCTTCTAAAAGAAAGCAAATCATGACTGAAGTTTCGAAATCGCCGATTTTCTTTATTAAAATTTAATAAAGATATTCTCAAATGTACGTATGTTGAAGGATTTTTAACGCAAATGAAAAATTTGGCGAAAGTAATATTGAAATAATGGATTAATGTTTAAATTAGATAATAGATAGTAAAATGAGATAATTAGGAAATTCACGAATTTGATATTTTTATTGCAAAAGACTGTCCATCGTCTTGTGCTTTTCGTGCAAAGTATTGATATTACATTTCTTCAACATTATTATTAAATTTTATTTGCATTAAAAATCTTTTTAAATATATTCATTTGAGACATTTTCGGGCATTTTGTCATATCGTATAAAAATCGGTAAAAAATCTTTTAAAAACTTTATTGCGAAGAAGCATGTTGAGAATAAGAAGATCTTCCGTGTATCTCTGTATTTGGCAGAGACGGTACGGTCATAGCTCATATATGTTCTTTGCGGTCACGCATAACATACAAGCGTAGCCATATTAGGACCTCTTATGGCAGAAGGCTGACCTGATTTTTTCATGTCTCCGCTGCTCTCCCGAAAGAATGAAAGGTAAGAGAGAAAAACCGTGGGGGAGGTAGAAAATATATAGATACAAATTATAATGGAAGGACGAGAGTTGGTGAGAATCCATTACTGAAGTTAACGTTATAACTCTTATAAGATCAAATAAATCAAACCAATTATAACGTAAATTTATGTCGCAACTTATTAGCACTTTATTATTTCAATCACTTTATAAATTGACATTGATTTAGAACTTTTATTGCGCTGTTCTTCTAAATTTATTATCGCGTTTTTGACAATCACAATGATAACATATGATGACTCGATGATTTACTGTTCCAGATTCATGGGGCATATCAGAAAGCAAACAGCCTCTCACTAGCGCGCCCTTGATGTGAGTACATAGCTCTCTCATAAGTTCGAAAATACTTTTGTTTTCTGAATAGATGCCAAGAAACTAAGTCACGTAATATATATTTTCCGTTAACTCGTTAAAGTAGAAATAAACTCATATTTCTCAATTGTCTGTAATTTATGTACGAAAGAAATTTATTACGGATGATGCAAATTATTTCATCGTCTATAACTATTTATATCTATTAAGATTTCGAAATATTAAATGTAAAACATTAATACAGGGACGACATTCATGAAAGAACATATGAAGAGACTAAAACTGCAGTGAGTCCATATACATATCAAAGTCCAGAACCGATTATTAAAAAATCAGTGGTCAATAGAGAATTGGTGAGCAAAATTATATTGTTACAACTATTTTCGGACATCAATTCATTGATATTTTTAAGTAACATTACGTGAAATGGACAATTAACATTAACAATCATATTTATATCAGGTCTATGGAGATAGTTCAACATCTCGTTCGAAACAGACTTCCCCTCTGCCAGGAACTCAGAGAGACGTCAAGATCATTCACGAAAGCAGTATGTAATTTATATAAATTAATTTATATAAATTATTAAAGAATTTTAACTATTTTCTAAAATTGGTCAATAAATGATTTTTCGTTTGCCTAAGATTATCAAACTGAACCACGATCAACTCAAAGTACACAAGAATATAAAACCATCGAGTATGGAGTCCCAAATCCATCGATACCAATCAATCTGGCACCCGGTCCAAACACAAAGGTAACCACTACCATTAAAACGTACACCTACGAACTACCGGGAGCACCGGAGACGTATCTACCAGGTAGCAATGCACCAGGGAATGTCGTGCTGCCCGGTGATCAAACGATCACTTACACCCTACCAAGAACCACCACCACAGACAATACAGTCACCTATCAGACCATGACGGAGAATGTACCGGGACATCCTGGTTCACCGATCAAATACTCACCGACTGATATCACTGAGAAGTCTAAAACTATTCACAAGGAGTCGAAGTTTTATCGCGAGGAACAACCTTCCTATGCTTATCGCAACGCTCCACCGACAAACATGGAAACCAAGACCACCGTAACCGAAAAATATTATCACGTTGACGGTTATCCTAATGGCCATGGACCAAGTGATCGCCCAGACTATTCTGGGAGTACGTATCAGAATCAACCGCCTATCGTAAGCGAACATACCAGAAATATTAATCGGTTCGAAGAATACAGATCCGGCAGATCACCGTCCAGCGGACGTTATCCCGATAAACCAGACACTCCGACCAAAACGAGTTATTATCCACAGCAGGATACACAGTCCGGTACAACGATTTATAAATTTTCGAATACTATGACGACAGTACCACCAAACAAGAACGCCGATGATCACGAAGTCCTCCTGCCGAAACCGTTTCCAACTGGTACTCAAGTGTATCCTACTAAGCCAATTACCAATGGCGAAGGACCACCGACCAAACTGGAGGATCTCATGGCCTCGTTCTCTGATTCTGAGGTAAGTAAGAGTAGAGTTTATACTATATTATTTGTACGAGGATGATCTTATGTATGTATTTTGTTTGTTCAGCGAGAAGTATTGGAAGATATAGAAAGACAAGTTTGTCCCACATACACCACCGACAGTTAAAAGTAAGAATGTTGCTGGACCACCAGTCTATTATCCTCCTGGCTCGGCTGAATTCACCAAGAAAGAAGAATCTAGCGCAGCTATGTTACAGTCTAGCGTAAGATTCTATAATTTTATATGACAAATATTTAATGTATTATAAAATAGTCTTAATTTGCGATATCTTATCAATCCTTCTATTCATTATTTTTCAGGGAGGATGGCAAAAAGCCAACGAAAAATACGAATACGAAGCTTCTAGCAAAAGTAAAAGCAAAAGCAGCAAAGGAGGTGCTGTTGTTCCAGTTTGTCTTCCGTTATGCTGCGCATTGCCATGCGTCATTATGTAACTTATTATTATATTAACAAATTAATGAAACACATGACATACATACATACACACACGGTATACATTTGTTATTATAATATAATCAAAAGAAATTAGAGGAGAAACTAATGCAAAAATGTGTAGTCTTAGAGCAAAGTTTTATAAATTTCATAATGTTTCCTTGCCAATATAAGATTCGTTCATTTGAATTATACACATTATGCTTTTTCTATCTCTCTTTGAATCATATTAGGTGTTGGAATTAATTCGTAGCGTTTTACAAGTGATGGGAAGTACTTTCATTAATGTATTTTTTAATGCTCATGTGAAATAAATAACATTCTTTCATTAAAAAACGCTACGAATTAATTCCAACACCTAATATATCTATTTCATTTTTAATATTTATAGTAAATATTTTAAAAAACAATTTTACGTATGTGTTAATATTTAATAAATGATAGAGAGATTATATAATAAGCAAGTAATCAAAACAAATCATGCTCTTATATGAAAGTGAACGTTAATACGCTTTATCAACATATTTATAAAATAGCAGGAATATTTCGGGAAGCTTATTTATTTTATTTTATTATTATTACAAGTATTATTTGTCTCAATGGCACATTATCAAGTATTTTTAAATGTACTGCAATATAACATTTACTGTAACGGAATGCATAATACAAAATGTTATATCTAGTGCTTTCTGTACATTTCTCAAGTTTATTATATATTTTGATATATAAATATATAAATATATAAATTAATAGCACATAACGAAATATTTCATTAAATTGAAATTTTTATTGCTACGTAAATATATTTCTGTTTCTATTTACATTAACTGTTCCAATGTACACCTCATGCAAAAAATGTAAATTATAATATTATAACATTAATTAAATATCTAAATTAAATTGTAAAATATTATTAATATTTTCAAATAGTAAAATTCTTTCTAACTGACAAACAAATGACGTTTATAAAAGTCATTTTGTACGCAAAATACATTAAACTAAATCATTTCAGAAATTATTTTAAAAACTGACTTGACTGAAAGATAAAATGATAAATCATGACAAATGTTGTAACAAGTAGGATAAATAAATTTTAATTATACTGTACTACCGTGAATTATGGTGCTATAATAATTTTAGTATGTAAAAAAGAATCATGTGAAATAGAAAATATCACTGCAAACAATCATGCACATAATATTGTATATGAATTTAAATATTATTTGTAATTATATGTAAAAATTGTGTCATACCGTGACATATAACATTATATTGTATATGTATCAATGTATGGTAATAATAAGTTGTACTTTAATAAATTCATTGAAAAGTTTCTTAACAATAACTTTCCATTCATGGGATTCGTCCATTATACATTTTATACTTCCAGAAATTAAATCTTTTAATAAAAATAAACTGCATATACTATAGCCACACAAAATATAGTATCCTAAAAAAACAACATGTAATTAAGTAAAATAAGAACACAAAAATAAGATATTTGGACATTGTATGACAAGTTGAACTAAAACGTTTATCTCCTTACATTAATAAAATTGTCATAGGCATATGTATCAGCTTCTGCATCCCAAATACATCTTGTACCTATTTTTACACCAGCACCATGTTGTTGTCCCAAAACCACATTGACGATATATTTATATCTCTTAAAATGTAAGTCTATAAAAATATAAAAGGGTTATACAAGCAAATATTTAAATAGGACTTTAAATGTAATAATTAATATGAATTTGAATTGTACATATACAAAAAGATAAGTATTACTTTTAATTTTTCTTTCAATAATATCCGCTATATCTTTGGTCCATTGGGCAGCTGCGTGAGCGTCATATGATTTCGTAGTGAGTTGCTCAAACAGTACATCATGTATTATTTCTTTTGCAATTAGAGGTTTGAACCTATGTGTGTTAAAAGTATTTAAATTTTAATTATACCTCTGATAACTAAATTTAAAAAAATATTAGCCACATCAATTATGCCATCAGTTTCACACACTAATTAATAGAACGATCTTTTTATAACTCTTTAAAAATTTAAATACAGGTTATCATGAATATAAGATAAACTGGACGTACTTTTCATGAAGATGTGGTCGAATTTGATAAAGCGGTTGTTGAGCTGTTTCTTCAACATCATCTTGAATTTCCAAATTCACATTTTTCTTTTCTTCCTCTTCATGTGTTACGTCCACTGCTTCTTGCACTGGGTTATGTTTCACAGAATTTTGCATTCGCTTCATCTCTGTTATTTTTATTATGGATGATTTATCAATTTCTTGTCAGATTCTATTAATTGTGAGCATGTTTGAAGTTGTTTATCTACAATAGCAACCAATATCAATCATTGCCGATCGGTATCCCGGCATGTTCAACTATGATGGAACGTGAGTCTCCCCCAGAACACATCTGAGTTCCTTTCCATGAACAAAACCAAACCTTGAGTCATCTTGTAATACCTGATTAATTTGCTGGATCCAAATATCCAACAGTAATAAATCACATTGCTGCTTAACAATTGTACAGTTGTTTTATATTTACTCTTTCGCGCAATCAATAAAGATGAATCAGCTGATCTAACATGCTATAGATCTTGCTATAGTATATACAAAGAGAAACCTGAGAGAGGACATTTTCCTGTAACTGCAAAATACCCCCGCATATTACTGCCATCTGAAGAAGTGGATGCAAACTATACAACAATATCCATTTTTTTTCTGTGCTTCTGATGATAAATCGCTTGAAATCTATTAATTTTATAGATTTATTTCAGCGATTTCAGCGATTTACTTTCATCAGGAGCACCTGATTTATTTCCGTAAGAAGCATATACAATTTGTTATAAATATACAATTTTACAAATACTTTCTAAAAATGTCAAAATATACGTAAAAATCGTTTAATAATGTTTATATGCTTGTAAAAATGATGAAAATTAATCCAGAACACGAATGACTCAACGTGTATAGTAATAGGGTACCCAAAACTAAAGTGTGTATACTAAGGATTAAATAAAGTTATTTAAAGTATATATTAGGTGTTGGAATTAATTCGTAGCGTTTTACAAGTGATGGGAAGTACTTTCATTAATGTATTTTTTAATGCTCATGTGAAATAAATAACATTCTTTCATTAAAAAACGCTACGAATTAATTCCAACACCTAATATATACTTTAAATAACTTTATTTAATCCTTAGTATACACACTTTAGTTTTGGGTACCCTATTACTATACACGTTGAGTCATTCGTGTTCTGGATTAATTTTCATCATTTTTACAAGCATATAAACATTATTAAACTCTTATCAGTTTTTTATCGTATCGATTCCTACGATTTTAAATTTTAAAATAAGTTTTTGAAACTTATTTTATATTTTTTATTTTAAATAAGTCGTAACAGTTATTTTACCGAGATGGTTGGCATTATACGTAAATTTAAAGAATTTTTAAAACACAGAATAATTTACAACAATAGTAGTGTCAAATTAATTTTTTAGCTAAAAAATTAAATAATGATTAACAAGATATTTAATATTTTTAATCAAAGCTGTTTTGGGTACAAATTGTTTCGCGATATATATTTAAAAAATTTGCATGTATCTTTATATAAAGGATGTATAGAATATCATCAACCTTGGTTTAAGTATGAATTATTTAAGAGTATAATGAAAATTGAGATATATCAAAAATATCTCACACACGCGAATAATTATCAATTACGTTTAAAAGAATCGCGCAAGTAATATAGGATTAAATTAATGTCGGAGATGCCACCAAGCAGAACGCGAAATGTACGAAAATACTTTATCAAAATTGTGTAAAATACGAATAATTGAATAAACCGTAAATATTTGTCATGCGCAATAATTGGGTTACTGTGTATCCAAACGACGCGCGACAAACAACGATGGGTGAGGAAGCGTCAAGCGTGCAGCGTGGCATGATTGACTACGTCATCACTTCGGCATTCGCTCGACGACCTCGGAAGGAGACAGACTTTCGTATGAATTCTGTGTGTCGTATTAATCCAGAAGGCAAAAATTGAAACATCAAAATGTAAAAGAAGCATAAATGCTTCTTTTACATTTCACTGTTCCAATTTTCGCCTTCTAGAAATTAAAAAAAAAGAGCAATACAAATTGAGATATAAATTGAAATGTTGAAAGCACTTCACGTAAGCAATTATGTCAAGAAATCACGCTAGTGAAAAACCTTTTTTTACTTCTTGCCTTTTGTCAGCACATTGTAATTGATACGAAATATTTAGAATTATAAAATAAACGTCGAATATGTTCCTCGGTGTATCACAATATAGTTATGATATCACATTAAACGACTCGCGTCGCTAAAACTAGATATAAGAATTTGTTTCATTAATCGGAGAACATAAAACGTGTAAAGAATATATTATTTTATTTATTCGTAATATTATTATTTCGACAGTTAGACGGTTTGGCGCGCGATCTTGGGATGGGGATGGCATGGGGTGGCACGGAGCGGCGTGTCATGTTTACGACGCAGTCATTCCCTTACCGAGATTCGTAGAAGCAGGTAGTCGTGTTGCGGCATATTACATTTTTCAGATTATCTTCTCTCTGGGAAGACAGATACGACCTTGAAATGGTGGGAAGGTTTGTATAAAATTTTAAAGTAATTTTTAAGTAAAAACTCTTCTTTTATCTAATTTAAATAATTATGTCATCTCTCAGGTTTCTCTCTGGTATATATATATATATATATAAAGGTTGTGTGTGTGTGTGTGTGTGTACACACGTTAGGTTAAGTGGAGGAAACGGCGGTTCTTTATTTTTTCTGCATACACATATCGATATAAAAGATACAGAATATATGAAATAGAAATTAATAAATGAACAGCTAACTATATAATACAAGATATAGATGTTAATAAATAATAAATACAGTTAAAGATGTTTTACACATATTTTCAAAAATGATAACAAAATTATGAAAAAATTACAGATTATTCTAATTCTTTATCATTTTTAAAATTTTAATTTTTAACAATAAAATAATAATAAATAAAATAAACTACAAAAATGTTATTAAACAAAAATATAATCTTATTTGCTTTCATATGTACATAGTTAATTTGAAGTGTGAATATTAAATACTTCCAAATTTAATTTTCTTTGCAGAGATTGTATTATAGAGACGTTTAATACATCCTTAAATGCTAATGTGCAAATAGCATATTATATATTTTTAAAATAATAAAAATAATAATTTTTGAAAGCTACATGTTAATAATAAAATAAATGTGGATGAAATAAAATTGATTAATAAATTCAGTTTTAATTTCCTGTCATTACATTGCACATTGTCATTACGTACATATATATTTAATTTATTAAAATCCAGCCAACTTTGTATTAGAAGGGTAGAATGTACGCAGTAATTGACCTCGTTCCTTGTCCATATGTAAAGTCTTCCGTTTTATCATTATTTCATGTTCAAGGATGCCTCTTGTCTTGACTAATTCCGCCTGAACTTCCTCAGCACGTTTTAATTCTGCCAATACAGCAGAAGTATGTTCGCCAAGTGATTTCACTTCTTCAATAAGACTAAGTGAAATGAAAGTTTTTTAATAATGTTCCGTTAATACTATTTGTTAAATCATTTAAATGATCATTTAAAAATGAAATTTCTTTTTCAACGACTTACGCAAGTTGAGGTGCATCTCGACAACTTTCAACATTGAATCGATTCAATCGATTATCTAATCTCGTTTGTGCTAATTTCATACCATTGTTTAATCCCTTCGTTGAACCCCGAAGTGTCTCAATCAACTTTTCTGTATTTGCTAGTTCATGCAAGCACTAAAAATAAAAATATTTTATTTTCGGTGTTTTATATAAAACTTTTATATATTGCCTTTTGTTGTCTTCAGAAATCTTACGCGAAGTAAGTCATTCTCTAGTTGTTGAAGGCAATCTTGTGTGAGTTCCACATTATTTGCAAGTGCAACGTCAACGCGAGTCGCTTGATCGCGTAAATCTTTAATGGATTTAGTATATATATCATTCAAGGTGGACCTTAATTTTATTGATCTTTGTTTAGCAGTTTCACCATCAGCTAATACCTCTTGAGTGAAATGGTCGTAACTTGTAGGAGTAGATTGACTGAAAAAAATTAATAAAAAGAAAAATATTGATTATGTAAGCTGATTACATTAGATCCAACGCTAAAAATAATAAAGTTGTACATTATTTCAAAAACCGCAAAAAACAAATATATATAGAGATATATCTATTGTTACTATTATCATCGCTGTTTCTTATGTTACTATTTTTTTTACATTCGTAATGTTCTTTTGCCTATTTTGCATTTATAAAATGATGCAAACTTACTCGGCTGGAAATCTCGTAGCTCCAGCTTTCCATAGTAGAAGTGGAGAATCATTAGACAAATTCACACATATGGAGTCTAAATTGTACGTATGAATTTTATCAGACCAATCATTCTCTGCTCGCGCTTTCGCAGATTTCAATTCGACCATTTGCATTTCGATCTGTTCATAAATTCTCCTCAGTAAATCTCGTATCTCGGTACAAAGCGCTATTTCCTAGAATGTAACACAGAATAAAGAAACTTGAGAAAGCGACATTGTTTTGATGAATTCATCCGAAATTCAACCTTTATGAGCTGTTCCTCGACTTTATCACGGACAAGATCAGTGTTTAGACGTAAGGAGCGTAACTGCAAAAATTCATTTGCGATTGACAAAGGAATGGTCAATATCGATAAAGATCGCTGTACACGGCGACGCTCGGTTTCTAACAATTCCATCTCTTCTGCAATGGCAGCGATCGCATGTTCTAAATTTGTCTTCCAATGGTAAACCACATTAGCCCGTGTTTTTAAATGTTCCGTCGTTTCTAATTGTATTTTGTCAGCTGTCGTGTATACTTGGTCTATGCATTGCTTTGCACGGTCAGCTGCGACTCTAAGAAATTCATTTTTATTAATATTATTAAAAATTAATAAATATCAATCTCTTTTGCAATATTACAGAATATTGAACTCAGAGATCCTTTAATAATTCTCGAATCAAATTATGTTGAACTACGTACCGAGCATCATGGACTCTCTCATTCGATTGCTGAAAGATACTCAAATTGTGCGCGCGCCATTCACTTGGTCCGTAGCGAGTGATGGAATATCGATCTGCAACTGGCCTCAAACCAGTTATTCCATTCTCGCGAGAACAGGTTACTTTGCCTGTAGCCCATGGACCAATAGGTTCCATTGTGTGTTCAAGTTTTGGTGGATATTTATCTTCGGGCTGAGGTAAATAAAGCGGAGGTTTTTCGGCGTTGTCTCCGCAACCACATTCGTGCTTCATCATAGGGCATGGTTGTGCCTTTTAAAATTTGTTACAAGATGAAAAGTAAATTGTGTATATGTGTATAACAATACAATAATTACACGCAATATACACACCATTCGACATACATTTTTCTATATATGTTCTTAAGAATAATCTATTTACACATATATTAAGATATCGTTGCTACAAGATATGTCGATGTGTGTGTAATTTATGTAAATTAATGACATAGGAAGAACTTACTCGACATACATTTTTCTATATATCTTCTTAAGAATAATCTATTTACACATATATTAAGATATCGTTGCTACAAGATATGTCGATGTGTGTGTAATTTATGTAAATTAATGACATAGGAAGAACTTACTCGACATACATTTTTCTATATATCTTCTTAAGAATAATCTATTTACACATATATTAAGATATCGTTGCTACAAGATATGTCGATGTGTGTGTAATTTATGTAAATTAATGACATAGGAAGAACTTACCTCAATTTGTTGTTGTAAAATGTCTTGTGGGCTGTCAGCGGAACAATCGCGTCTGTTTGGAATATCCGACATTTTGTAGGATAATCAAAAAAGTAATGTGCGTAATGTGTTTTATGATTTATATCTTAAAGGTGTACTGAATATATGCTGTACAATTGAATTGTACATTTACGTGTAATAAAATACATGAATTTCTGTCGAAACTTAAGCTGTCGCTCACAAGCTCGTCTAGTAAACCGGATTTATCGATTTAATACGCACAGCTGGACGAATCGCCTCATTCTTCTAAAGAAGGGATGATGTTTTCAAATTAACCTTGTTTTCTTTATTAAATATAAATAAAAAAATATTATATAAAAAAAAATTGATTCGTTATCATTCGTCATAACACGCAAATGACTAAATTCAAGATATTACGTACCTATTTTTCTATATAATACTAAAATAAATATCTCTACATAAAAAATGTACCATAAATACTTAGATTGTCGAAAAAGATTTACGTATATTAAAATATAATATTACGTATAATAAAAAAGTATCCCTACATAAAAATATTTACATTTTTTTTTATTATTTTACGCAATATGCTTTTTTATTGAATAAAACGCAAAATGCATCTGATAATGTTTATAAAAGAAATGATGCAAAGTTTTTTTAAGCAGTCTATACGAAAATATTGACTTGGTTAACTTATCACAGTTGGGATATATACATGTGAAAATGCCCTATGTAAAAATGCTCTCTTTATCGAATCAAAACAGCTGTTTAAATATAATGTTACTTGATAACAAATTTCCAGAGAAATTCGATTGTATATAATTAAGAATACAGGGAAATAATCGCCAAATATTTCATGAGCAGGTAGAGAGGACTAAACTGAGTCGGAAAGTCCTCTATCATTTTGCAATTTTCACAATAGTTAATAAGATATTAATTACTAAAAATTGCCAAATATTAATAATTTTTTACTCAAATACTATCAACTTTACAGAAAAACTGCAAGAGACAAAAATCATTTATTTTCTTCTCATAAAGTTCAGAGAATTTTTTTAGAATTTTTTCAGAATTTTTTAATACCGTATCTTCTTATGTTGGTAAAAATGAGAAAATGCAGTACTAAAAAGTTGATTGTATATAATTAGAACAATATGATTTAAATTTTATTATCAACAAATAATTTGACAAAGAATTAACTATTTGATAACGAATTCGATTGAACATACTCAGTGCGCAATCGAATTCGCTATATGATGTTCTCAAAATAGCTCTCAAAATAGATCAAGGACTATAATTATACTTACAATTAGAGTTTCAGAGTTTCGGGAGAAAACAGAATGTGGAGTATTCACTGAGAAATAATTGAGCATTGTAATATTCTCAAGAAGTCTGTTTTTGTAGCTGAACTAGTGTACACTTTAGATATATACATATTTGATAATATATTTGGCGAAAGCGAGAAAAAGTTTTAATTCAGTTTAGTGCAGGTCTAAAAACAGATCTAATAAATCGACTCAATTTAATTATTACATACGAGTCATATAAAATAGTAAACATAAAGAAAATAAAAAAGTAATATCTTTTTTGAGATTAAAAAACTGATTCTAATAATCTTAAATAAAGATACACGAAAATAATAACATGAGAAGATGATAAAATAGATTATCCACACACACGCAACACGCACGCACGCACGCACGCACGCTAAGTCATATCGTTTGATATATTTATATATGTAAGCAAGAAATATCTGAATATCACACACGCACGCACGCACGCACGCACGCACGCACGCCATATAAGTAATATCGTTTGTTATATTTGTATATGTTAGCAACATTTATATGAATATTCATAAATATTGTTAACATATATGCTATATGTTATTAATTGTATTATATTATATTAATATTTTACATTTTGGCATTTCTTACATTAATATTAATATTATTAGAATGTATTGATATAATATTATAATATTTTCATTAAGTTTTTTATGGTTATAAAGATCCGAAAAAAATATCGAAACGGACAAAGAAGCTATATTTAAAAGCTTGTAGAGCAATCTTATCACATACGAAAAGAAAACATTTCTTGTTGAACGATGGTAGTGTCGACGTTGTCTCTATAAATACTGGTTAAACACTCACTGGCACTCACTCGCTAAGTGTTGCCAAGTAAACATCACCGAGAACAAAATGGCAAAAGTTCAAATTAAATATACTCAAGTAAGTTGATATTTCGTATTATTTCATAAAATGTATTATTGTTTTTTTTTAACTATATCAAATTTTTTTTTAACTATATCAAATCGTAAATATTTGAATAATAAAGATTTATTAATAGAATAATTCTTGTGTGATCTACAAAAATTTTTGCGTGTATTATGTAAAGAATATATTAACTTTATTTAAAGTAGAGAGAATTGCAAAAACATAATTTAAATGATTTTACAAATTTTTAATTAAAATTGAATATAAAAAATAGCGAAAAACAAGATAAAACATTTTATCTATTTTACCAACATTTGAATTTGTCAACAATTCGACTTTTTGAATTAATAAATTATTTTTTATTATTAATATCAAATACTTTTTATAGCTATTCATCGACAATGAATTTGTGGATGCTGCGAGTGATCGTAAATTTCCCACAATAAACCCTGTCAATGGTAAAGTTATCGCTGAAATCTCCGAAGGAGATAAGGTAAAGTTCTCTACATTAATTATGTTATTATCACTATATATTATTATCATAGAATGTTGCATAAAAAAAAAGATAATAAAAGATAAGATAAAGAAGTAATTACATTGGGGGAATCCAGCTTTGGGAATTACTTGCTATTTTTTTATTATAAATCTAAATTATAAATCTTTAATTATAAATCTTTGATTATGAAAGAATTAAATTTTTTGTTGGCTTTTAATCGAATCAATATAAAAAAATAATGATTTAGGGAAATATTCTAACTCTTAATGATTCTAACGATATCATTGCAGTCGTTAAGAGTTATAGACCTTGTAATGTAACACAAAAATATAAATGTTTTATTAATTTGAGTCACATTTCCTACGCTTATTCATTAAATGTCCGTTGTGGTCTATAATTTAGATAAAGAATTTAAAACTTAAAGAGATACTATAAACTGAATAAAAAAATAATTTAATTTAATTGCTAACTCGGAAAATTGTATACAGTTGAAAATAATTTTCGACTTTGACATAACACAGATAACTTTGTTTTTTGATCTGTGCTCGAGTATTAAAGAATTATCTCATCATATTTTTATATTTCATTATCTATTTAATTTTTACATCTACATATTTAGAAGAGAAGAAATCACATTTATTTATACGGCTACATATGTATGTGTGTATATATATATATATATATATATATAAATAATATTCGGACTCACAAATTTCAAAAAACATGAAGAAAAAACGACTAATACATCAAGAATGCAAATGGTATATGTGACAAATAAAAACAATGTTGTAAAACAAATTTTATGACATGCGCTGTTAGAAATGTAACCACGAGCTTCTTTTACATGTAAATGAAGTTCGTGGTTATGAATGAAATTAAAAGTAATGAATGATTTAACTGAAAATTAAGTTACAGTAGTTACTTAAATGTAATGAACGTGTACATTAAATTTACGAAATTTTCATGAAAAATATATTAAATTTTATGTACAAATATATTTTTTATAAATACATTAAATTAATGTAATATCATGAAATTAAGTTCAAATTGTGTAACTTAAAAGTATATTAAATTTCATAAAATTTTTAACAGTGTATAGTACATACGTTCGGTTCTTTATTTAAATCATCTTCAGAATGTTCCAAAGTGGTAAAGCATCAAACCATATAAGTAAATTGATTGAGAGAAGAATGGACTTTATTGTCGATCTCAAGTGTAAAACTATTCTGATAGTAGAAACTCTGACAGTAGAAAAATATTTTGAACATCAGTTGCATGCCTTTATTAAACTTTTTTCATTTAATATTTAAATATTAAAAATTAATTATAATTTAAAAAAATGAATTTCTTTTTAGGCTGATGTAAATAAAGCAGTGGAAGCTGCTAAACGAGCCTTTAACAGAAATTCAGAATGGCGTACAATGAATCCATACAACCGTGGACAACTTATGTACAAGGTAAAATTTTGTGACATTATATTTTTTTATACTCAACCTAATACAAATATTAACTACATACTAAATATAAATGAATAAAATAGTTCACAGATCTTGTTATACGCGATTTAGATTATATTGCTACTCTCGAAGTTCTTGATACTGGAAAAACATATACAAGTGCTGTTGAGGATATTCAAGCAAGTATTGCTGTTTTTCGTTATTATGCAGGCTGGTGTGATAAAATACTTGGAACTACTATTCCAACAGGTATTCATTTTTTGAATTGTTTTATCGTTTGTATAATAATATTATTCTATATATTAGGTGTTGGAATTAATTCGTAGCGTTTTTAATGAAAGAATGTTATTTATTTCACATGAGCATTAAAAAATACATTAATGAAAGTACTTCCCATCACTTGTAAAACGCTACGAATTAATTCCAACACCTAATAGCTAAGTATGTATATAGATTTAAAAAATATGCTATATTAAATTTCGCGCATTAGTTTTTCACGACAGATATAATATAAATTATAAATTGAGTGATAGTAAGTAATTTTATTTATTATTTGACTAGGCGATAGTAGTGTTACATTGACACGAAAAGAGCCAGTCGGTATTGTAGGACAAATCATCCCTTGGAATTATCCTTTCATGATGTTGATTTGGAAATGGGGTCCTGCCTTGGCTACTGGATGTACACTGATCTTAAAGCCAGCCGAGCAAACACCTTTGACTGCGCTTTATGCAGCTGCTCTAGCCAAGGAGGCAGGATTTCCAGCGGGTGTCATAAATGTTATTCCAGGTTACGGTCCAACTGGTGCAGCTATTGCTGAACATCCAGAAATTCATAAAATCGCTTTTACTGGATCGACCGAGGTATTTACATTTTATGTAATATGATTGTATTGATAGAAATGTATGTATTGGTATAAATTATGTTTCTTCTCTAGGTCGGACATTCCATAATGATAGCTGCTGGTAAAAGTAATCTTAAGCGTGTCAGCCTTGAATTAGGTGGCAAGAGCCCGCTCGTTATTTTCGATGATGTTGACGGTATGTTGTAAAAATAATGAAAAATTTTAATACACTTCATTAAATAAATAATTAATTTATATTACATTGGTTATATTTATAGTGAAAGAAGCTGCAAAAATCGCACACAATGCAATATTTGCAAATCATGGACAAAACTGTTGCGCAGGATCGCGAACATTTGTACATTCTAAAATATATGACGAATTCGTGAAACATGCTAAACAACTGGCGTTTGATAGAAAAGTAGGAGATCCATTTGATCCTAAAATAAATCAAGGTCCACAAATTGATCAAGAGATGTTCGATAAAGTCATAGGTTTAATCAATTCGGGCAAACAGCAGGGTGCTGTTGTGGAAACTGGTGGAAATCGGCATGGCGAAATTGGTTACTTTGTACAACCTACAGTTTTTTCAAAAGTAACCGATGATATGAGGATTGCCAAAGAAGAAATTTTTGGTCCAGTTCAAACAATCTTGAAATTTGAAACCATCAATGAAGTAATTGAACGTGCCAATCGCACTAACTATGGTCTTGCTTCTGGTGTAATCACTAAAGATATTAATAAAGCTTTGGAATTTGCCCAAGCTATAGAAGCAGGTAGTGTTTGGTATGTATTACGTAAGAATATGTGATAACATTTCACTGTATGGACATATATAATTACGTACACTCAATATTTTTCAGGATAAACTGTTATGATGCTATCACACCACAAACACCATTTGGTGGTTTCAAACAATCTGGCTTAGGACGTGAATTGTAAGTCATAATTGCTTAAACTTTAAATAACGTTATTTAACTTTTGTATTCTTTTTTCAGGGGAGAAGAAGGCTTGAAAGAATATCTTGAGATTAAAACAATCTCTATTAATGTCACAAAAGGGAATTAATATGTATTGCACAAAGTGCACAATACATAAGCTTAATTTTTCATTATGATTTTGATTATACTTTTGTTATAAATGTCTTGAATAAAACTTTTGTAACAAAATATTAATAAAATGGTATATGTAATGATTTATTGTTCAAAATAATAATTGTTCAAAATTTGGGAAACATATATATTCTTTTCTTTTTCTACCATGTAGCGTAGATTAATAAATATTTGAGACATGTATATAATATTTAGAAAATTAGGAAAATACATTTATGTATATAATATAAGAATGTAAAATGGATTAAAAACAAAATAATTATATTTTAGAGTTTTATAAACGTAACACTTTTATTCTATGTGAATGTTAAAACTGCAGAGTCTTATTTTGATATAATGATAAATATATTTTTTACCTTTATGTAATACTATCGCAAATGTTTATAATGTGCGAATCGCAGGCTCAGGATAATCATCTGGTGGTATACCTAATTCTTCGTCTGTCCACTTAGATGGATCTGGATATGGAAACTCTCCCTGGATACAAATAAAATTCTTGCGTTAAGATTACTGATATTAGATATATAAAAATAAAAACCTCAAAATTATGTGATACTTACTACAATGTGGCCAAAGTCGTGCCAAAAATGCCACAATATCCACCACCACATGAAGCCTCCGAAAACTTCAGCTGCATATACCCATTTTTTCTCTTCTGCCATTCCGATATTACGATACATATGACTGATAAGGAAATAAAGTAAATTATCGTAAATACATAGCAAAAAAATTTAATTAATTAAATCATAACGCATATATTCTTTTTATGTAACGAAATGCATTTGTATTAAAAAGCGAAACATTTAAACATAACCTATAACGTAGAGTTACATAATTCCATCTACCTATTATGAGATAGTCTAATGGAGCGCAGATTTGTTGCAGCGGCTTTACTTTGACTACTTCTATGTATAATTTTTAATAAATTTAATCCTCGTGAAATCATTATAACAATTAAATCAGCACTACCAAGAGTATCGAGTACTATCAGATGATTCTCATCACAATTTAATGCACTTGCACAGTGTCAACTATCACACCATTTACACTTCCCCCTCCTGATTACGCATTCGATATTCGATTGTTCGAGAATCGCAGTGTCGACTCTCAACACTGTCGATAGGTGCGTCAGCCATATTGAACCAACGGTGAAATGCTGTTCAAATTGCTCCGTTCATTTTTCGCAGTTACTTTTCGTTCTTCAAAAGTGATTCGCATCCGCGAAGATGATCGGATCATCGCGAATGTTACCGTGAAGTGTCGAATGTTATAATGCGTGGAACATTGCACATATACACGATCCTTCTCACATTATTACGTCAATAACGCGTTGTTGACATATTGGCAATTTCTTTCTTTGTGCATTTTTTGTGAGTCTATTGAAATCATATTCTTATTCGAATTATAAATTTAATTAAATGTAAAAAGACGACGAGCAACATCGGAAAAAGTGTAGGGTAATCGTCGTATTATACGCAGATACAGAATATATATCTCGTCGATGTGAACACTTGAACGTTTCGTCAAATAAACTCCGTGCGATCGTATTCGTATGTACATTGAATTCTTAAATTACGTGCGTGACTTAAACGAGATATGTATATAGTCTCTGTACGCATCGTAAATAATAAAATTTACATGCATACAGCAATTGGTAGTATCACAATTAATGCTGTAATCAGTAGTTTATAAGATTAGTGCATGAATTCCTTAGAATGCATGATAGTAATTAGTATACTTATGCATAATCACGATCATTGCTATTATTGTTATTTAAATCAGAAAATAAAATCGCTGCAATTAACCTCTCCATACAGCACAGATTTCCATGGACATCTTAAAGCTGTCCAAAGGATGTATACTTGCGTTGTCTGAATGTCCTAAGGGTATTTCTAAGATGTTTCTTGGATAAAGTGCGATATGGGTCCCTTAGAGAAATTTAATTTAATATTGACTAATTTAATACTAAAAATTACATATTTTTACATTTTTAATACAAATTAACAGATTATATACAAAAAATAATCTATTTTTTTAATTAGAGGTAAATTTTGTGACGAGTCAGTTGTTTTCAATACTCAAAATAATTAATCACTTTCCTTTCAATATTAATTAATTTCTGCAAGAGTTTTATATAGATGATGTAAAACTATTTGGACTTGTCACAAAATTTCTAATTATAAATAAATTATGTTTTACTTAGATATGTTAATTTATATTAAAATAACTGTGTGAATTTCAATAAATTATTAGTTATAAGTTGATTACTTGTTATTGATAATCTTCTTCCTGTATTACACTTAGTGGATCCGAATAGCTTCAGTTAAATTTCAACAGTCTATGAAACTTAATATGATTGCTATGTTTATAAAAGTATGTGCATGAGTTAATGAAAACTCAAAGTGAAAATCTTTTCTTTTGTTATGTATCTTTATAGATTAAAGAATATTTAATTGGCCGTGGTTAAAAAAAATTATTGTATTTTTAATATTATGATTGCTATAATATTGTATTATAATGTAACAATGAGATAAATAATATTATAACGTATTATAAGAATTTTATTTATCTCATTTGTCTATTTCTCAAATTCATACAATTTTATATATTATCTATATTTGAGTCACAATTCTCAGAATATGGCTTTTATTAAGAAAAATATTTTACATCATACGTCTTGATTTGGAGATTCCTATTGAGGCACACAGGCATCTAATAAAAATGTGATTGTTTAAAATTATTTCGCATAAACTTTAAAAAGTGTTTCATAATGATCGTCGCAAGTGTTTCATAAAGATATCGCGTACAGTTGTTAACTATATATACATTATATTCACGATATTCGATCATATGTATATATCACAATTGCGTTTTTTTTTCTGCATCGAAAGTGCAATTGATCCACATTTATCGCGTGTCAGCTGTATATATGTGTTATTTTTTTATAAAATGACATGAATTTCTTATTTTTCATAATATTGTTTATAATATTTAAATAGTATATATTGTTTTTAAAAATAAATTGAAGTAAATTATTAAATTCTGTGAATTTTTGAATCTTGAATTCCTATTGATAAAAAGGAAAAATTTCTAAATTGTATAAATTATTATTAGTTAATAAAAGTAAAATAAAAATAATAAAGTTGCATTATTATTAAATTCTTATATATATTTAATTCTTTGTTTAGATTCTTATATATATTTAATTCTTTGTTTAGATTTATTAAAACGATTAGATTTATTATATCTTGAATCGCAAGTGTGAATGACAAATTAAAGAGAATAAAGTAAAAAAGATTTAAAATTAAATATATCACAAATAATAATAATATTAATAGAAGATACTAATAGAATGTGACAAATATCTAAAAATTTATCGAGCATTTGTTATTATCGGAAAATATGTATAAGATATTTGTTTCCAACGAGAATATGTTGAAAGATAGATATATCAATCGTCCGTTTAGGAATATTAAATATTTTTTTAGATATTTATTGTGCATTAAAAAAATTATTCAATTGACTAAATTAATTTAGTCAGTTGAACAATTTTTTTTCAGTGTAGTATGAATTAAATCACTGTTATTCACATTATTTATATTATCATATTGATTGTAGGTTTTAATCGGCTAGACAATATCGATGAAACAACGGAAGAAGTGGCGATGGCGACACATTTTGGTGAGTACATTTATTTATTTATTTATTATCAATCAATTTATTACGAATCATAAAAATCAAACATTTATTTATCTTTTAAAATATATAAAATTTAAAACAGTTATATATTTTATATAGTAAATTATATTTTTAACACAACATTTTTTAAGTGGTAAAAAAAAGTTACTCAGCGTCCGTTCCATTTTGTCCTTCTTTTACGAGATTAATTTACGACAGCTTAACATTCGATGGAAGTCGTAGAAGTATATCAGTCGCGGAATGTTCGCCATTATCCACGGTACGACTGAAACTCGGGAAGCAAAGGGGCACATTCGTATGTTAGGGGAGCGTTGCAGCCCATTGCTATTGGCTGAGCAAACGCTTTTACAAGCTGCAGCGAAGCATTTGATCCCCCAGTAGCAACCCTCCCGAGACTTATCTCGCATTGGCGCTTCAGCCATAATAGCGGCCCCCGGTTGTACCTAATAATATGTTTTATAGAGGCCGTCGTCCAGTATCTTTCGCCAACGAACGAGCTCTTAACCGTAGATACGAAACACCCGTATAGCTTAGAACAAAATTGTCTTTGCAGAAATGTTCAGAATGAAAAAGTATAAAAATATATATTTAAATAATTGGACATTAACTTTATGGAAAAACTGAGCAAAAAGTCTTAGTGAACATAAGTCAAAAGTGCAATCATTTCTAAGATATAAACAACTTTGTATGCTTGTCTCTTAACTAACTTATTGTTTTCTCATGTTGCATACAACATGAAAATAGAGAAATCGAGATAAGTAGCACACTGATAGCCTATTTAAAAGAATTACGGATTCAAGATGATCTCTCATAATACTTATCCAATCGTAATGGCTAGTTGATGTAAACTTACTGATTTTCGGTGAAATTTTTTATTATAAAGTGTGTATGGAAATTGAATCAGAAGATTCAGAACGCGATTTGTAAACACTAAGATAAATCTTCACGTTGCATAAGACTCATAGAAGCTGATAAGTCAGTTGTGACTAACATATAAAATTGTTTATATCTTAGAAACGATTAAGCTTTCGATCTATGTTCACTAATGCTCGTATTATTATTCACAGTAAAGTTAGCACGACATTCTATTAATATGAAAAAAATAATAACAGTAGCTCCAGTAGTATTTTTTTTCTCAGTTCTATAGTTCCTTATAAAAATAAAAAAGAGAAAGTTCGGCATTTTTTATATTAAAAAAATCAAAGGAAATATAACGTGTTAATTTCGCGAATTTAGCATAATATTCTTCCTCTAAAATATAAGAAAAAGATAAATATTTCTGCTTTTAGTTACAGATCATTAGTACTACTCGAGTTCTACCA